TCGTTATAACTCGGATTTCAGCATTCTATATATAGTCGGAAACCTCGTTACGACCACTACCACATTCTTCATAGATATCGAGCTTATCTAATATTTTATTTCTACGCCTATTTTTATTCTTAATTCAATTAAGACACACAATTAAGCATAAAACATATAATACTCAAATAACACATTCTTATTATTTCAAAATGAGTTACAAAGGTTAACCTAGACTATTACAACAACATTAATGCTTAGCCCAGAAACACGGACATTACAGAAAAAGACGTGATCTATCAGCTCCTCTGTGGAATTACAGAACGGACAAAGATCATAGTTGACAACAATACCCCTTCGCGACATATTCACATTAATTAGGATCCTATTTTGAAAAATTCTCCAAAAGAAACAATTAATCTTAAGAGGGATCCATTTCGCCCACTTAAACGAAGCCAGAATAGCCACACGAGTAGCATATAGAACATGCCTTAACAACTTGACAGAGAAATCACCACTGTGAGCATCATTCCACAGCCACCTGTCATGATCATTTGACATCTGAAAGTTATCCAAAAGGCTAGTCAAAAGGGAGAACTGATCAGTTTCTCTACCCCTCCTAAACTGTCTTAACCAACCCCAATTATGATGATTCACCACATCAGCTCCTGTTGAGATTCTATCCAAAATCAAGCAGTCTTTATTGGACTCCAACAAGTAGAGGTTTGGAAAAAAAAACATCTTTCAAGGCAATGTCTCCACACCATATATCTTTCTAGAAAAAAGTATAATTTCCTATACCTACCTTCCTCTTAAAAAAGCTGTTAAGAACAATACCCTTTCTCGCAAAATCGAAGTCAAGTTGTGAGATATCGAGCCACGCGCCTTTTATCGATCTTTTAGCCAAGGGTTTTCCATCTATTAATTTATATTATAAATAGCTTTAATACAAGAGAACCAAAAAGAATTATGACCATTCTTGATCCTCTACCACCATTTGGCAAGGAAAACCAAATTAGCCGACTCGAGACAACCCACACCTAGACCTCCAAGATCTTTAACCTCCCAAGCCACCCAATTACTTTTTTCTCTTATCATCATCTCCGCCCAATAGAAACCTCATACAAATACCATCAAGAATGTTGATAACTTTTCTCGGTCCACGAAACAAAATAAAAAAAAAAGCGGGAGACTACTTAGAACCGAGTTGATAAGGGTAAGCCTCCCACCAAACGATAAGCTATTTGCATTCCACATAGAGAGCTTTCCTTGAAACTTATCAATCACCGGATTTCAATGCTTAGCACACCTCATATTGGCTCCAATGAGAAGACCAAGATAAGTAAAAGGGAAAGATGCAGGCTCGCAATTCAAGATACTAGCCAATCTATCAACATCCACACTATCAACTCCAACCCCGAAAACTTTAATCTTATGTAAATTAACTTTCAAACCCGAAACAAGGTAGAAGCAACGGAGCAATTGAGATTAACAAAGTTGATTTCTGACCATTCTCTAATGAATGTCACATCATCGACATATATTAGATGGGAAAGAGAGATATTATTATGAAGAATAGAACGCCCATGAAAATAATGAAACTCACAAGTCGTATTCATAGAGATATGGAGACCCTCCATGGCGATGATAAATAGAAACGTAGACAAGGGATCACCTTGCCTAACTCCCCTAGATATGTTAAATTCCTTAGTAGGAGAGAGCCGTTAACTAAGACGAAGGCCTTACTCGAGGAAAGACAACCCTTGATCCATCTTCTCCGCTTCCATCCGAAATCCATTTTATCCATGATTGAGTCAAGTAATTCCCAACTTAACGAGTCGAAGGCTTTGTCAAAGTCAACATAATTTTGAAAAATAAAAATAACATTATAAAAAATAAAATGAAATAGATAACAAATAACGTTATAAAAAAATTAATTTTGAAGAAAAAAACAATAATTAAATAAAATTATATAAAAATAAAGTGAAGTAGATAATTAAATAACATTATAAAAATAAAGTGAAATAGATCATAGCATTCTAAAAAAGCGACAAAGGTTAAAGAAACATACATTCAAAATATCATGGGATAAATATTTTTTTCATTATAGCATTGTACTTTCAGTTTTACTTTTAAATTATTTTTTATTAAGACATTGAATTACAATGTCTGAAAAAAAATAGTTTGTAAATACAATATTAGAATAAGAAAATATGAGAGTACAAGATACACACATGCATGTACATATAGACATACACACATACATTATTTCTTGCATTATAACACTGTATTTTAACACAAAAATGACCGAGAATTGGCCTAGAAAAGATACACACAACTGATACATATGTAGATACACACATACTGATACATATGTAGATGCACAAATCGACAATTAATGAAAATTAAAAGTGAAAAAAAAAATCCGACTTTCTTAGACTACCGGGTGTGGGGTAGTTAAGGCCAAAGCATACCGCAATATCAACATGCTTAGTAGCAAGTAGACTCCAATCAGTCGTCGGTACACCAAATTTAATAAGATTTTCATGAGACTTTTTCGCAAAAGCAAAGTGGTGTGAATGATTTCGATGTGTTCAAAGCCGCAAGGGAACAATATCACGTCGAAATGAGGCACACTTTCGAGTTTGAAAAAATATAGGATGTTGTGAGAAAAGATCCAAAATGAACTAAAGCGTAAACATCGTCGGAGGCACAATCAAAGAGATCTCGCAATTCTAGTTCTTTTGACGTTTTCGGCGCACAAAATAACATCGAACTCAACGCCGACACGGATCCCCCCCCCCCCACACACACACACACGACCGGTTGGGCGCGACAAAGCGAAGCACGCTCAACGACACGCGGACGAAGCCGAGAGAAGGCACAAGATTTGGCGGAAATGAAAGAAAAGTTCGACCAACACAATCTAATTGCACAACAAAAGGTTTAAATGCAAGGTAAGCACTTGGAGTTCCTTCGTAGGCAAGCGGAGGAAGATCAAATCACGAAGGACTTAGCCATTCTTCATACCAACGAGGAAAATATGGGACCACAACAAGTACAAGTGCTCCGAAAGATGAATGAGATCATCAAGAAGAAATATTTGGATTAGGACTATTGTATCGTTTTTAAGTTTTTAAATTTGGACTATCGTATTTTTTCGTTCAATGTTTTTTTTAAATGATATGTTTAATCTAGGATTTAATTAAGTTGCATGTCTTATTTTTTTTATATATAAATACTATAACGTAAATAAAAAAAACAAAAACCAAATTGGAAAAATCGAAAATAAATAAATTGAAAAGGAAAAAAAAAGTCGGAAAAAAAAACAAAAATAAAAAAGAAATGTTGACATGAGAATTAGTGGGTGTTATAACATGTTGTCCATTTTCTCACTTGGTGTTATAATACAATGAGGTGACATGAAATGTGAGATGACAACTTTTCGGTTTGATAACACTAGGGGTGGCAACTCTCGACCCAACCTGTAACCCGACACTGACCCAACCCGAAAATAGATGGGTTTGAGTTGAGATTTTTGACCCACCAACCCGCAAACTCATTTATTTTATGGGTTGAGTTGGGTTATCTGTTTGGGTTAGCGGGTCAACCCGCAAACCCTATATATATATATATATATATATATATATATATATATATATCTATATATATATATATATATATATATATATATTACATTTAAAATAAATTGATATATTTAATTATTAATGAAATTTGATTTCCTTCCATATTCGTAATATTTCATATCATTGTATTACTTTCGTATTCGTATGTGGCTAGTCTGCGTTTGCGGTGCCCTAATCTAAAAAGAAAAAACACATGTCATCATTTTTAGATACTCGCAAGTCACGAACGAAGAACACATCTACTTTGAAGGAATGTTTTCATTTTTCAATTTTATTTGGATGTTAATGACTTTATTAATTTATGTGGAAAACCACTTTTTTGGATGTTAATTACTTTAATCATTTTATGACTTTATATTGAAAAAACCTTATTTTTTAAAATGTGTTGCTTATTTATTAAACGAGTTATATGGGTTGGGTTCGACCTACTAACTTGTGAACCCGTGAACCCATATACTTAGACGGATTATATGGGTTGGGTTGGGTTGAGGTTTACAACCCACTAACCCGTGACCCGTCAACCCGCCAAGCCATATATTATATGGGTTAGGTTGAGTTTATATTTTCTGACCCGCCAACCCGTGACCCGCCAACCCGAACCCAACCCGATTGTCAGGCCTAGATAACACCCGTTAATTAATTGCCCACACACTTTTGCATGTAAATTTGGTCATTTATGAGATACATATTATGCTATTTTCTTTGTGTAAGTTGCTCAACACCATCAAAGTAGAGATTATTAAGGCATTATACTTTAAGTTAAAGAAAGATACCACGTTTAAATACCTTATTAAGGCATTGAACCTTAAATGATAAATAATCTTTCAACAACAAATTAAGTGACTACATGGATAATTTGAGTATGGGTACGATTTGCCAATCAAATTTCTACTGATGCTCCACTGGGAATTGAACAGTCTTGGAAAAAAAAAATGGAAGGGGCAAAGTGGTAATTTTGCAATTTCATTACCAAAAGAAAAAAAATATATATTTAATTGCAAAGAAAAACCAAATAAAAGGTTCTTGCTTTAACATATAATAAGATGCTGTAAGCTGACAAATAATCTAGTGTTTCAATTTCATTCAGGCATTTCATCAAACACTTCATGTGCATATAAAAGTACAAACATATTGAAAAGAAACTCCACACAAAAAAAGGCTACTGAATCTGTACAACATATGAACAGACAAATAGAGAAGATCACTGCATTCAACAGCAATAGCAGATTGAGATTTTTTTGAAAAAATGGCAATTTTCATTTCTTTTAATGTATCAAGTAAGAACAATAATGAAGTATAAAAAATCAAAAACAAAATGGGAAAAGTTATTACATTACAATTACACCCCTAAGACATGGCTTACCAGTTACCACATTAGCACCTCTTATATTTCTTAATCCTCTTAAGAAGATGACCATATTGCCCTTTTTCCACCATCCCTTTAATCACCTCATTAGCTTCAAAAACCTTTCCAGCATTCTTCAAAAAACTCACTAAAGTTTTATACACAAGAAAATTCGGATTACACCCTCTGGATTCCATTTCCTTAAGCATCAAACACGCATACTCAAACTTTCCAGCCATACAAAGCCCACGTATCATTGTATTATAAGTATAAACATTAGGAATCTTCCCATTATCAAACATATCTGAAAACATTTCTTCTGCTTTTTCAAACTGCCCCCCTGCAATATGTGCATTGATCATCACAGTGTAAGCCACCACATCAGGCTCACACCCTTGTTCCACCATTAAATCAAAAAAATACTTACATGCATCCATGTTTCCAGCTCGACTTAATGCATCTATCAAATTGGTAAAATGAAGAACATTTGGCTCAATTCCAGCTTCTTTCATCATCGACAAATGCACAACAGCTTCAGCTGGTTTGTTTGCTCGTCCATAAATGTGAAGTAAGATGTTGAATGTATGCAAATCTGGAGGGAATCCGTTTCTTCCCATTTCATCAAATAAGCTATGAAACTGATCTAATCTCCCCAATCTATATTTTGCATACATAATGATGTTATATGTTAATGTATCTGGTTGACGACCATCTGCCAACATTTGTTGATACACCCATTCGATGAGATTATAGTGTTTTATAGCATGAAGGGAATGTAAGATTGCATTGAAGGAATGCTTAAAAGGGCGAAAATTGAATGAATTTGACTTTATGAATCTTTCTACAACTTTCTTGGCTATACCCGCTTCGCCACATGAGCATATAAAGATGTTGAACGTTCGTGAGGTTACAGGGTAACCTTTTTCTGTCATTTCATCGAGTAATCTCCACATTGCTTTGTATTCTTGTGATTCTGCAAAGATTTGCATGATTAAATGGTAGGTGTTTACTGTATGATTGTAGTTCTGTTTTTGGCCTGACCATATGAAGAATTTGTAGCCAAGTTTTACACAGCGTTCTCTGTTTGCTTGGTTGATGTTCTTCAAGATTCCGATAAGAACTTCTCTCACGAGTAAACCTGAAACTTGTATTTCTAGATTATCTAAAGCTGATCTTGCATCGAACCCAGGACCATCTTGTTGGAGAACTTTGAGCGCCATGGCTGCTGCGTTTTTTGTGTTTCTTAGAAAGCTTGATCTGTTGAATACATTTTGTTGGTGATGTTCTTCTTCTTCTTCTTCTTCTTCATATCTGCCACTTGTGCCAACGGAATCAAGTGACTCTTCTTCTTGGTTTTCATCTGATACGGTATTACAGTTGGAGCTTTTACGATAATCAATTAAGTATTTCTCTATTCGTTGAAACCCATCGATGAATCCATTACTAGTGCTACATATGGAACGTGAAATACCGCAAAAACAAAAGATGCTCTGAACAAATCTGTGATCAATTTGAGCAATTGAGAGCATGCCAAGAACCAAGCTTGGGCTTTTAGTAATCGGGTCAAAATGACCACGACCAACTTAGCCGATATCTATAGGACAATCTGAATCGAGTATGATACAGATATAATAATTTGAGAGTGTAGGAGTAGAAAAGTTGGACCCTTTTTTATGTAGACAGATCAATTCAGTAGCTTGTAGTCGTAGAATTTGTAGCTTTGTACCCAGTGCCAGTTGAAGAAATGGATAAAAGGTGAAAGGGAAGGATGAAAATAAAATCAGGGAAAAAGGTCTCTGGGAGAAATCTGAGTGGAGATGTGGGTTTAAGAGACGGAAAACGGTGATGGATGGTGGCGGCCGGCGACGGTGAGATGTGGACTGCGTGAATCGGAGGTTGAGCCGTTGTGAACTGAAGGTCTGTAGACGATTAGGGTTATTTGCAGGAAACGCTTTAAATGATAAACGATGTCGTTTTTAATTTAGTGAGTTACATTTTCGGTCCCTGTAATTTCCACTCTATACAGGCTGTAACTATTGAAGACACATTCCTGCATTTTGATTCTTTTGCTGTTCCCATCATCTTCTTTTTCTCCAGTTGTTAACCAATCGATTACTGATATTATTTGAAAGGTACTTGCTTTTGTTCTCTAGAAAATGCCTAGGACTTTCCTTTCATGGCGTTTTTCCTTTCCATAAACGTTGTTGTAGCATTTGTTGATCAATTTTTGTTGCTACTAGATACTTGATAACAAAGCATATACGTAAATATGATATGTTTTCTTAGGTTGGACGGACTTGAGCATATTTTGCAGCGGGTTCACGGTGGTACCGTCGACTACACCGCCATGAGTTTGTATTGTACCGTCAAATGTGTAGATGGAAGGGTTACTTAAACCGTTGGAAATCTTCTTCTTTCTCTTCTTTGTGACCATTCAACGGTTACTTTTATTCAAATATATTTTTTTAATCATCTATATAAACAATTTACCACTCTAAAAATCATCCATTCATTCCAATTTCTTTACAACTGTCCCCAATTTCATTCAAACCCTCTACAATTCCATTCGCACTCTCTCAAATTCAATAGGTTCGTAATTTGGTTCCGATGAGCATCCCACCAAGAAAATGCATTATGTAACCAATCCTTATTTTTTCATCTTCATCCGATGAACCAAAACAATATTAACATTTTGCCGGCATCTTGAACTGCACAAGCTCTTATTTTCAATACCGCAAGTTCAAGCATGGTTAGGAATTCAATAACTCTTGTTTGGAGAGATCGTGAAGCTACATAAAAACAGCCAATCCGATATTACTTTGTGAAAAAAATGCAATCTTTGGGGAGGAGCATTTTCGTACCCAGCAATAATACCCGAAGTTGTGGCCGCACAACATAAAGTTACTCGATCTGAGTAAAAAGCCTAGGACAATCATTTCAAGCTTTTAACCATTTTAGTTCTTATCATTTTGCAACCTTATAATGGTATTCAAAAGGTGTTAGATTACAATATTGATTGTCTTGAAATATTAATAAACCATAGCAACCAATCAAAGTAAGTACATATCCCCTATAATTATGTTTAAGAATGTTTTGATATTACTTATACTATATCTACTTTTATTTTCTATGTGGCATTTATGGATGATTTTACATTGCATGAATCACATTTCAAATGTGTTTTAAATTATAATAGTCTGTATTGATTTGAAACTTTGTTTAAGAATCCTTATTGTCCATCACATATATGATGAGCTGTTTTGAGAGTTCGAGAGGCCCTATGGATTAATTTCTTAGAGTTTGAAGGATTAATTTCATAAAGTTATAAGCAATATGTTTAGGCATGAAATTTACAACTCCATTCATTCTATGGGAATTATGGTAAAGATTACACGATTCTTTAAATTTTCCAAAGGCTTAGTTCCTCTTATATGACCTTTGTGGTCATAATTGACGTACTTGTTAAGTTAATGGCAACGAGTTGATTTACGAAGTAGATTCAGCCCGGGAAAGCCATAGAATATTTCAAAACTAGAATGAGAGAGCCTTATTTGAGAATAGAGAACTTGGGTTGGGGTTTATGTAATGTCCCATTTTTACAACCAAAATTTTTCATTTTTATTTAAGTAAATCCTCCCAATTATAAATCCAATATTGAGAAAACGTTTATTTCAGATACATTTATTAAAAATCAGAGTAAAAGTAAAGCGCGAGAATCTTCATTGTTGTCGATGAATGTGTACGGTCACGCATTCGCATTCCCATGATGACCGATGATACCTGAAACAATAAAACAACTGAGTAAGCACAGAACTTAGTGAGTTTCCCCCAAAATGCCTCATACGATAAACATACAAGCATGCGTAACGGCCCACAACCTCCCGGTTGGAATGCCCAGGCCCAATCAGTCCTCAGACTGGAATGCCAACATGCAACGGGTCCAATTGGCCATCGGGCTGGAATACTCGGGTTTGTTGGCCTGTCGCCTCAACCCAACTGCTCTTCCCGAACCTCCGTTCCCACGGCTTACAGCTTGCCTGCACCGGGTATCTTGGCCTACAACACAAAGCAGGACCGCCTCAACCCACCTCTACCATATGTCGACATATAAACAATCAAGGACCAAGTAGACACATAACACAGGAAAACATCAATCATATAACTCACTACTGTCACACCCCCGAACCAGACGGCGGAAACGTCCGGGGGCTCGTGTGACTAACAATTGAATAATCATTACAATGAATATACATGAAACATAACACATTCATCACCAACATTATATAATACAACCAGCATTGTTCACATCAAGTACATTGTTAAAATACATAAATTCTAATTGTTCAAAGTACGATAAGTGATATTACATAAACAAAACCATACACACTTGCATATCTTCCAGCTTAACGATTACCTGAGAATACAAGTTATTTTGAAAACGTTTAACATATATAATGTTGGTGAGTTCATAAGTATATTTGAGTAAAAATCTTTGTATCTTTCATAAAACCCAGAAAATCCGATATTTTCTGAAAAGTGTTTTGAAAATGATGTGAAAATCGAGTATAAATGCATGTGTGAATTTAATAGTTAAAAACTTGTATGAGTGTAGTTTAGGTTCACTGTATTTTGAATAAATGAAAATTGTATATGAATAATCTCCCCAGAAAATCCAATATTTTTTGTTTTATAACATCGTTTAGATTTTTGTATCGTTAGTTAAGTCGTTTTGCATTGACACAATTAAAGAATTTATCTTCAAAAGGTTATCTTTTGGTATTGAATCCCTATATGAGTCGTTATAACCATACATGATAATGACTAGGTCGCCCGTCTTGGTATTTTTCCAAATGCCGGTCTTGCTAAGGATGTTGTCGCCCTAGACTGGCCTAGTCTAGCTGTAGCGAACAGCTAAGGCGTGGGGGTCACCCCGTATAGATCTATACACAAACTCCCGCTTTCCTATTAGGAAACTCTGATTATAACTACAGGCTACGATTGTACACTCAGTGGTACCAACCGACAAGTCTCACTAGATTCTCAACCTCTTTTGTACTATGTTTAATGTTTACGTATTTGTGAGATGTTTGTAATCGAAAGGTACATGAATAAGTTTACGAAGTTTAATGATTACATAAGGGTATCGTTACGGCTTACTAACACATGAAATTTCCATTTCCAAGCCCTATTAGTATGAAATTTGGCCACAAAGGCCCAATCACATGTAAAAGGGTAATTTAGGCCCAATAGGCATGTAAATGGGCCACAAAAGCCCAGTAAGAATGTAATCCATAACTTAGGCCCAAATTAACATGTAAGTGGGCCACAAGACCCAATAAACATGTCATGGAAAACATTGGGCTCAATACACACTTAATTGGGCCCTTAGGGGCCAATGGCCAAGTAATGTGAATATGAGGCCCAATATATAGTTTTTGACGTATTTTGTTCGTTCGTTTGATTCGGTTGTTTGTTTTAGTTCGAGGCTTAATAGATTGATGATAACAAAAAGCTTTCATTTTGTAAAAATTACGTTTTTGGCCAATAATACTCCAATCTTTAATTAAGGCCCAAAGTTTTGTAAAAATGACACTTTAGTCCATAATTTATAAAAATTTGTAATTTTGTCCCAAATGTCTAGAAACTTACGGTTTTAACCCAAAATGTTATATTTTTACATTTAGCACCCTTTTTCGCAGAAAAATACATTTTTAGCCCCTTGTTTGTAAAAGTTTACACTTTCGGCCCAATTTTGGAAAAAATTACATTTTTAGTCCAATTTGAAAATAAATGATATTTTCGCCTCTAAATTTGGTTTATTTACATTTATGACTCAAACTTTGGCCAAATAACATTTTTAAACCTTAAAACTTCATTTTTTTCGCAAATTGGACCCAAATGTCGTGAGGCCCAAAAGTTTGGCCCAATAAGCTTAAATTTGTATTTTTGACCCTTTTAAAAGTATGTTTTGCATAAAAATACCTTTTCATACATGTAGGATCTGTTTGGCCCTTTTAAAAACAGAATTTTCACTTTTTACCCTTCTCTTTTGTTTTCTTGACAATTTTGACATTTAACAAAGTTTTTGTTGAATTCTTTTGCATCTTAGACATGTGTTCACCTTTGGCATGATAATATGATATATATATATATATATATATATATATTATATATATATATATATAGTGTTGTAGTTATTAGATCTTTGCTACATAATACTTAAAATTTCGAGATTCACTAAGATCTAACACATTTTTACCAAATAAACTAAGAATTCACACAAAACATGCATATAACACATAGATCCACACATTTTACTTGCATTCTCCCCCAAAATCATATGAAAACCGAAAAAAGGGGTATGAACTCACCTTTGCTTGATGTTTCGGTTTTTGGAAGAAGAAGTGGAAAGATGAAGTGATTTTCGGCCCTAGCAACTCCCTTGAGTAGATCTCGAACTTAAGAAGATTTCTAGGAGTATGATCACCAAAAAACTTTGTTTAAAAGAGTAATCTATCATGAAGATGGA